TGAGAAAGCTACATGGGACAAAAACAGAGTCTTGCTGAAGTTTAAGTTCGTGATCCTCCTTGCTTTCTCTTCTCCAAGCAAACACGTCAAACATTGGTGCAACTCTGAATGCACACTCACTTGATGAAATAATATAGTAATGAGCATTATAAACATGGAAAGGAATGAGTAATTTGCTATTGACAAGTTTCTGATGATTAATTGAGACATTTGAAAATAAATGTCTTCTTCCTCCAGTCATCCTATGAGATTTTACCAGATTGATTTTCTTATGGAACAAATTAATCTTAACAGTACCCTAGTCAAATGCCACAGCCTTCCCAGCTTGTTGAAAGGCTACTGAACAAGTGCATCCTTCTTTGTTAAGGATTCAAAATCTCCACATACTGACTCAAATCTACCTCTCGACTGATCACTCACTTATTAGTCGCATTACTGACAATCCAAACTGGGAGTCACTCTCCAAACAAGATTTTCAGTCTCCCATTTCTACTCCATCACTTGTGGCAGACCCTCTATGCAAAATATCTCCTCTTAATTTCCATTTGGAGAAATAGCTTGAGCCCTTCGATGTCCAGTCAGACTTCATGGAGCCTGATTAGATGTCTGAAAACAGAAGTGGTTCCTCCCTCTTCCTAAGTCTCACAGAACTGTGCTCATACTTACTTTATGTCACTTGCGTATTACCCAGATTAAGATATGTGAATATCACCCACCTAGAGACAGGCTCTTTGAAGTAATGAACTGTGGCTATTTATATACCCGGTAGCCCTAAGTTCACTACCTAATTCATTGTAATTGTTCTATAAATATCCATGAGGAAATGGATGCACTATCACTGTCATCTCAATTTATCTGATGAATAATTCTACATTAGGGGCTAGGGAGAGAGACTGAAAAATACGGAATAAAAAAACTGCTGACTGTCTTCATATGCCTTGTAGCATAGTGATAATCTTTCTTTTTCTAAAAAATCAACTTTAAATTAACTACTAATATT